CCCCGCCCCGGCTGGCGGCGGCCGCCCCCCGCCGCCACGGCACAAGAGCCGCGGAGCTTCGGGCTTTCTTTGCACGGAGCGTGCCCAGGTGCGGCATTTCGGAAATAAACGGGAAAGACTGGAAAAGAAATGGGTGGGGGCGGGAGGGGAGGAAGGGGGCGACACGACCTGCAGGTGCCGGTTCGGCCCCGGGTGAGCCCGGTGCAGGCTCCACCGTCAGCCCCAGTGCCACCGCCTCTGCAAACCGCAGAAACTATTTCCCATTTCTGTTCCAAATCGCCCACTTTAAAATGGAGCGACCCTGCTCACTTTCTAGTCAGGTAAAAGGAAAAAACCCGGTCTCTTCCCCAAGTGCTCAATGTGCCAAGTCTTAGTCGAGACAGATTTTTTTTTTTTTTTCCTGGGAAATAAACCTGTGAAAACTGAGGTTTATACTGAAAAATGCTTAACCAAGCTTAACCGTAGTGGTGTAAAGTAGCTGGTGTAATACTCGGTGAATCCTGTTACTGGGAGATAAAGACAGCTTCAGTGACCTTCTAAGAAAGCGTATTTTCCCATAATTCTTGATAGCTCTGATTTGGGACTTGGAAGGATCTGGAGTCACCAGCACGGCCAGTGCTCCTGAGAGATGCTGCCGGGGAGATTGCACCGAGAGGGGTGAACCAAAACCAACCCAAAACGCACAGAGCTGTAGAAACCACACAGGATGGATGGTGTCAAGAGGCAGGGCCAGTCATGCTAGCACTCACTAATAAGGTGTGCTGCCTTTATTTTCCCCCAAAAAACGGAACTTGTACATGACCGCTTACAAACTAATGTTAAATACACGCCTGCCTTTACTCCTGTGGCCCCATCCAGTCCTATGAAAATGCCCAGAGAGAAGGAACAAGGAATTGCCAGGTTGTTTAATTGTTTACTCTTTGCCACCCAACAGATGGGAACTCCCAACAGTTATTAATCTAAATGAAACATGGAAGAGGATCTTGCGGCACTGACAGAAACGAGCTTTGAGAAGTTTGTGCTCCCAGGGCTGAGCAGACCTGAGTTATTGCCGTTCCCCAAACGCAGTGGGCCATGGGGGTAGTACACAGGCCTGGGAGAGGAGGGACAATTACCTTGAAAAAAACATCTACACTAGAACTGGAAATCAAGCATTTCCAGACCCCCTTTTTTTTTATATATATATATTTTGATCCCAGCCTCAGTTTCCTCATCGGTAGCGCAGGAGGAGTAATTCTTACCTGCCTTCTGGCCTGTTCCTTCAGGTTGGTCCCGGAGTCTCAGTTTCTTTTGTGCCAGGCAAATTTCTAGAAATGCTCCATGAAAATATGGAGCAACATTACCCGTTACAGGGACATGGGCCTGGGCGAGTGGGAGCCCACAACCCCCAGAAAGGCCAGCCCAAAAGTTGAAACAAGGCACACGCACAATCAAAACTCTGGAGGCAAATGCCAGTTCAGATAGCTTTATCAATCAACCCACTTTTATTATTATTTAGCTGGAAATCTACATTTTTCTTTTTGAGACACTTGGCAGCTGAATATTACAGACTCTCTTCCAATGGACCTTGCCCTACTGGTCAGAAAAGGTTGCTGTAAGCTCAGGTGAGCCCACCAGCTTGCCACTAACAGTGCTTTGCACTGCAAACACCACCATAAATGAGTCAC